ATAGCTACCTTGGATCAAGACTCGATAAATTTCACATGATTATATGTGTTTAGGACTAACAAGACTCAAGTAGCTCCATTTGCTATTGTTGAATTAAAAATTCTAATAATCTGGTGTCGCGGGCAACTTTTTATTCAGCTCTATCAAAACATCTCTGAGAATTTTAGAAGCTGTGTTGATATTTTGGAGTTGATTGCAAACAATTTTTGTGTTAGGTTTAATACATACAAATGAAATGTTTCTTAAATAAACAAAAAAAAGAAGTTACACAATAATTTAACTTACATTTTATACATATGTTCGGTATGTATTATGGAATCGATTGAATTAGCGATGATGAATGAATTGATTTCTTTAGTTTTAGACTTAATAAGGAAACAATTTTAACATAAGCTTGGCTTGTATTCAATCCAGTAACCTTGGTCTTCATAAAACTTTCTTGGGAATTCATGCTCAACGGTCACAGCTAATTTTTCATATTTTCCAAAGAAATATATAATAATGGTATATAAGGCTGTGGATTTTAATCCATTTCATCATCTGCTAACAAAAAGTGATGCAAGGAGAAGTGGATATGAAGCATAACGTCAGAGGGAGAAACCCACAGCAAATTACAAAAATATATATCACACAGCAAATGCACCCTTCATGGCCAATCATGACCCCTTTGGATCGTGTTCCCTTTATCCGCTCAATATGAAGAAACAATCGCCAATTAGAGCAAAATTGTTATTATAGAGAAGGCATCTTGAGTTTCCACACAGCCATGGGTCTTTTGGAGTACCATCCATATATAATATATAGCTCCTTGCCTCGCTTGTTCTGTAGGAACTCAACTTTTTTTAGGCCCGTAGCGCTTAAAATCAAGGATTTCTTTTTAATGTAACAAACTATCTCCCAACAAAGATCATTAAAGTAAAATTTGGCTTTTCTAATAATTTATTTTTCAAGCAAATGATCACTAGAAATCATAAGTTAATCAATAGGTTTAAGGGATTAGCATTAATTGTTGGATTTTCTTGGTGAATTTGAAGGATTTAAACTCGGTTTGTTTTACCTTTTTCTTAATACAAACGGGTTAACATAAGGGGAAAAAGAATTCTTTCATCCAATTATATTAGGATCATTCATTCAAAAATAAAATTTGCATTAACTGAAATGTAAAAACAAACAAGCTTTTAATTGGCAGTGTTGAGGCAATAAACATATCTCTCATCACGTTTTACACATCTTATTATTCGTCAACATATCAAAGATATTTTTAAAATATTCAAAATTATAAAATTTCCACATTCTTAATTAAATATTGGAGGGGGGGGGGGGGAGCAAGGGACAGAAAGTTTGAAAGAGGAGCAATTGTTATATATTCATATATGATAGCAAAGCCTAATAATAGTTCAGGAACTAAAGATATATATAAACAGCGAACTTTCATGAGTTACATCCTGAACTTTCAATTATAAAATCTACATTATGGTCTTGTTCAATTTCTTTTAAAATATATATTTTTTCCAAACATTCAAGCTATTTTGGACGAAATTTATATTATGCTGGGTTGATAAATATATTTATAATTATTTATGTAATATACCTAATTATGACTTTTTTTGAAGAGAAAAGGTTAACCACAACAAGTATACTTAAATATATATTCAATGTATAAACACACCATTAGTTTAAGTAATATATGTCTAATTTTTAACTAATATTTTTAGTTTTATGGATGAAAAAGATTTCTTGCTAAAAATTTAATCCTATCATACTTTTAATTTCTTGAATTAAATAAAATTATTTTTTGTAAAGGGTATTTGTGATATTAGTTAAAATATTATTTACTTTTTTTATATATTTTCAAAATATGATTTTTGAAAAACTCTCATTTGAACATGCGCTAGCAATAGTTTTGTATGACTCAGCACACATAATATCTTTTTTGTATACATAAAAAAAATACTTCTCAACCAATAATTAGAAAAAAAAATTCTTTTCAGATATAAATATTATCTAAGTGAGCTTTGTTTCTTATAATAATTTTCTTCTACACAAACAACTAAAAATAATTAAATACTAATTCACATATTTAAAAAATCCTATTATTTGTTAATTGTATGATTTGTATCAAAATTTGTTGTATAATAAAATCATTTTTAAGTTTATAACAATAAATATTAACTAGCGAACACATCCCAAAATTATTCCCTTAATAGGACCCACATTATAACCCTAAAGGTAAAATTAATAAAATAACCAGTAAACTGAGAAGAAGTAAGAAGTAAAGCCTGGCCCTCCGCCTATATGATTTGCCACAGTAAACCCACTACATATAAAACTAATATAAAGACATTGCTTTAATAAATTCTTTCCACACTCTTTAACTTTTATAATTGAAGATGGAAACATTTCGACACACGTAGGGCATCTGTATGAATGATCAGCATTTAGTGCTAGTTGAGAATCCCAATTAAATCCTTCATCACAATTTTATCTCTATACCAAATTATGAATCACATCCTATACATTTAATAAGATATGCAACTCATAGAAGTTTTTATTCAAATTTTCACTTTTTGACGATAAATTTCTAAAGTATTTTTCACACAAACATAAAATAAATACTATTAATGAACAAGGGTAATTATATAAGGGGTTGTTATTGTTCACAATTTCATAGCTAACAATATGTATGTTTTATTTATTTTTTTATCAAATAACTTTATTTTAGAGAGCATTTTAATAATTTAAAATTATTTAACTTAATAAGAAAAACACATTATAAAAACTCAAATGAAATGTACCTTTTACCGTACTTTTAAATTTGAAGTGACACTTTTTGTCCTCTCTAAATAGAGATTTGTGATTCTTTTAATATTTTATAAATTAAAAATATTTATATATATTTTTAAATAAATCACTAAATTTATTGTTTATTAATATAAAATTATTAATCATAATCATTTTATAAGTATAAACATATAAAATACTATCTTATCTTTCAGAATACGGTAAAATTTACTAAGATAAGATAGTTAGAATATTTTAATAATATTTTAATGAGCAATGTATTTCATTTGTTATTATTTACTTTTATTATTTTTAATCATTGAATTATATATCAAATATGTTAAACATATAAATTTATTTATTGAATAAAAATAATAAATACCGTACATAAAAGAATGAAAAGAAACTTTTACATGAAAAATCACTAAAAAACAGTAATCAACAAAAAAATAATGGTAAATAGAATCTCTGCATCCTTTTTGAGTTTCTGTTTTAGTCGCTCATCATTTAATTGCTATTCATATCTTTTATATCTCTTTTTTTCCTTTTTTTGGTACATTAGTTTTTTTTCTTTAAAATTCATGATTATATATTTTTATTGCATACAAGTACGTTTAATGCGAGCAATGCTTCTAGGGCTTCCATAATTTTTATATGCATGATGTCAAGCCCAGCTAATCATCTATATGTTATAAGCATTTGGAAATATATCAAAATTCAGAACGAAATATGCAATTTCCTTTCACAATATAATGACACAATCAACTGGACATATAAGCAAGTAGTGAATGATAGTGTCATCCAAGAGTACATTTTATTTGCTTGGGCCAACATGTTGAAGACATTTTTGGTTTGTACAATATTGCCTTTAAAATAAAAACAAATCAGGCGGTCAGATTTCGTATGATCATGCATGCAATCACAAAAAAATTATGCCATTAGAAGAAATAACACTACTTGAATACATAAAGTCATTTTTAGAAGAAAATAACTACATAGTCATGTATATACCCATACATATTTTAGATTACTGTCAAATTCCATTAGAATTTTTTTAACCTGTATAATTATACAAAATAGTAAGTTATATATATATATATATATTTTATTAAAAGTTACAAAAAAAATTAATATAATTCAATGTATTAATAAAATGATGTGCGTGTGTAGCCAGAATATTAAGCTAAATCAACGCTACATGGAGAAATGAAATGAACTACATGTACATAAATATAGTTTTTGCATAGTATGTCGACAGTACCAAGTTTCAGGCTTTGACCAAAAGAAAACAAATGGCACCATTAAGGGTATTTAAAATTGTCTAGCTATAGTGCAATCTCTTTTCTCCCACTGAAGTAGACAACATATCAGAATCAAATCAGATAGTTCGTGTGCACACACTCCCAAGCACTACTTACCTTATGATGCCTACCAATTGCATGACAGTTTGAAGAGTTGTGTAGACTCGGTGTTTACACTGCATATATATTGAGATTTAGAAATGAAATTATTCATGAAACTACACGAAAACTAACCTAACTGAAAAGATCAAAGCTACCAAAATTACCCGATCCCTCAATTCAACGTATGAACGAATAATGCCAGACATGTTAATGACATATCAATATATACTTTTCAAAACGCAACAAAAGTAATTAAAGAAAAAGAAACAAGAAGAAACTGCACTTAACCGCATCCAAGGGAAGATATACACATACAAATATGGAAACTAACACGATCTCGAAATCCATTATTATTTTCTTCATAAACATCTTCAAGAGTACATACATACGTTTTTTATTTCATTAATACAAATTGGAGGATGTTTTAATATTGGTCTGTCACAGACATAACACACGCAGTGCCCTCTCTCTCACTTCTCCACAGTCTTTTTACTGCTACTACTCTTAAATTACAGCTGCTTCTACCGAGAGTACTGCTGATTAGGTTTACACAATATTTTCTAATCCAACTGCAAAGGGTGTCCCCATTATTGCAGTGACCCAGCCCAGTGTCAAATCACAACTTCTGCGTAATAAGCAATTACAGAAGCAAAAGCCAAAAAAAAAAGCAATTTAGATATACATAATAATGTCATAATAATATATATTTTAAATAAATCAAATTAAGGTACAGATGGTATGTGAAATTAGATCGAAAGAGAAGATTACATGAGTGAGTTATTATGAGGAGACATGCAAGTTAATTTTATGGGCTTACTAACTTGCAGCATTATTTGATGGTGGTGGAGGCAATGGTGGAGGCTGTTGGGGACGCTTGCGCTTCTTTTTCTCGTAGCTGATTCCTCTAGCTTTGGCTTGTGAATCACGCACTTCACGAAGATAAAGCCTCACAGCACGAGCACCAAAAGGGTTAGCCTCAGGTTTGCCTCCGTTTTCTTCAAAAGCAGCTCTGAGGCGACCTATGAGAGCATCAAGGCTTCCCCATGCTTGGCGTAGAGGACAAGGGCAGGGTGCAGGTGGGTTTGGGTGCCCAAAGAAGGGACAGAGCTGCGTGTGAACCTTGGTTTTCCCGAACTGGTCGAGGTACCTAAGGAATTCAAGCACGTGCGCACCACTGCAGCGAGAGAGGGAAAGTGGTGGTCTGTGGTTTCTGAGGTACTGACCAAAGGTGTTCCAGTCTCGGCGCTTTTGGTTTTCGTAGCGACTCAGAGTGGTGGAGGACGATGATGATGATGGTGGTGATGATGGTGATGATGATGTGGGTGGTGGTGGTTGTGTTGGTAGCGAGGGTGATGCGAAATTGGAGGTGGTACCTGGTGTGAGGTTGATGGCTTTGGTGTCTGTGTTTGATGAAGAGTCAAATTGTTGAAAGGAATTCATGATCTTGGACTAGGACTAGATATTATTTTGGATCTACGATCTTCTTCGTTGTTACTGTTTGTATCTTCTTTCACTTTGCTTATTGGATCGATGAGGGTGTTGAACAGTTTTGGAGATTGAAGGAGTGGTGGTAGGAGGCTAAGAGGGAGAAGGAAGATCTCTTCAAGGACAGAAAGTCTTACAAAGAAAAATGGTTTTGATCAGATTTCAGCAGGGTTTCAACTGTGATTCCAAGAGAGAGAGAGAGAGAGAGAGAGAGAGAGAGAGAGAGAGTTGAATTGATGGAGAATGGTAGAGATAACGTAACAGGAAGGAGGGTAAAAGAACAGTTGAGAGAGAGAGAGAGAGTACCCTATTTTTTTTCCCACTAGGCCACCTTCAACTCCTTGTGTTTTTTTGATAACTCCTAGAATACTTGAAAGCGTAGTAATGCTAGGTGCTTTTTGCTAACCCTGTTTTTCTGAAACCATTTTTGGGAATTCACGGTGTGTGCTTTTTTATTTTTTTGGGAAGAAAGAAGGGTAGCAGCTAGCTGTGTTGGTTTGACCTATGGCAGTGTCCCAAGCAAAGAGGAAATTGAGAGACCAGAGGGGCTTAATTGAGAAAGAAGCAGTGTTTTGGCCTTTAGGGCTTTTGTGGAAATGGAAATAGGTTGAAAATGACAGTGAGAGATGATTGATGCAGACAGATAAAGTTAATGGGTAAAAAAATTTAAATAAAATGGTTTTGGTGCTTCTCTCTCTTGCGTTGATTGACAACACCTTTTCTGAAATGACCCATTTACCCTTTTATGTCTGATGGGACTAACTTTAGCTTGAGATCAAAATATCGGATCATCAACCATAGTTGCATACAAGTAGTCAATAGTAGGGCTTGTGAACTTACCATCATTAGATTGTTACTTTTGAAACAAGTGCTAATCCCTAGATATCTGTGTGCAGATTATAATGATTTCAATGATGAAAATCATTGACTGCCTGCTAAATTAAGATTACTAAAACTAAGTAATTTATTATTTTATTGTCATAAAATCTAAAATTATCAATTTTTTTATTAATATTTGTTTTACATCACTTGATTATTAATCAATTACAATATTTGTTAAATAAATAATTAAAAATAATTTTATAACAATTTATAATTTTAATAAAATTTTCAAAATTTAAAAATTATAATTATTAATAATAAATAATATTATATTAAATAAAATTAAATAAAGATGATTTTTAAATTTTAAAAATATAAATATTTTAAATTTTAAATTAATATTAAATTCAAATAAATATTTAATATATAAAAAATATTTAATAAGATTAAAAAAATTAATTTTTAAAAATATTTTTGTTTAAGATTTTTAAAAAATATTCTCATTGAATAATCTATACTCATAAATTATATATACAAATTAAATATACAAAGGTTAATTGTTAAATCAAAGTTATAATAGTAAAAAAATTGTACATGTTAATTTTCATATCATTAGATTCATATTATACATGTGTGTATATATATATGTTTTTTCATCAAAAATTCCTTTAAGGAAAATAAAAAATGGTGTTGTAAGGGATCAAATTCCATGATAAAATAAAATAAGCAGTTAAGATACACTTTACTATTAAAGGTATCTATCTAAACTTTACAATTTACATGTTCATAAATTTATCAAATAAGATCTGACCAGTGTATCCATTAGATATTGAATATGCAGATTTGTTAATTATACGGTTTTTATTTTATTTTATGGAAAATTATATATATATATATATATATATAGTAAATTTTTATTAAAAATTATAATATTTAGTAATATTAATGTATTTAATTATATTAAATTTTATAATTTTTATAAAAAAAATTAATATGTAACTTCTTAATGGTGCAATATTATACATTTAGAAAATTGTTATTAATATTAGTTTTTGAAGTTATATAATTTAAAATATTTTAAAAGTAACAAAATTTTATATAATATAAATATTACATCTATATTTCTATGAAAAAATTATAATCAATTTAAGAAGCGACATTAACATATTCCTTGAATACATTCAGACCATGATTATTTGTCGAATCCAGTTGTATCGATTGTCAGTCGTTTGGAGAATGTCACTTCCAATTATAGCATGCAAAAATTGTTGTCAGGAAAACTACATTTGCAAAGCAATTTGCTTTTTAAAGGTGAATATTTTCACTTTAACCATAACCATAACCTAGTTCACTCTATAGAGATTAAGAGATGCTGGTGCGGGGCGTTCATAAAATTTGAGAGTGTGAAGTTTGTGAAGGCAAATCATATCAAATTGAATACATAAAACAAATAAGATGAATTGACACTAAGGTTGTCTTTGAGATTTGATAGGCCAACTAGATGTAGCTCTATTTCCATAATGTTTTAAAAGTGAAACTAATCAATACCATTGTGCTTTCATTGGTTTAATTAATCTTATAAAAGAAAGCAACGTCTTTTATTCTCAATCAAATAAAAAGGAGTGAGAAAGAAGATGAAATATGTATTAATTATATGACTTATTTTATTTAAAATGAGCCTTCCACAAAACAAAATCTATCAAAGTTTAAAGAATCTCATGATTAAATAATTCCCTAATTTCAATAAAAAATTTAAATTATTAAATATAATTATAATGTATATTTAAATTAATATAAACCACGTGTTTATATTGAAACATGTTCTCGATCTCGTTAAAAAAATATTTTTTAACTAATATAATTGGAAGTTTATTTACATAACATGGTAGACTTTAGTTATTAAATAATAGACACAACATTATTTAAATACAACATAGACATTTTGATAGATTAATTTAAACTATTATCTAATGAAAAATTCCATGACTAAATCTATGATCTATCTCATTTACGTAATTGAGTTTATATCCATGATTTTTTTTTTCCAAAAAAAATATTATGCACGCCATCTAATAAAATCCAAGTGCCATTTCATTTTTGTGATAAAAAATTAGTAAATGAATTGAGTAAATATGAGCTTAGCGTATGCTTTTATAAATGTGAATTTGACCTGCATTAATTAGAGACTATTATATATAGTATAATTTTTTGCATTTGGGTTTGTGCGTACTTGACCTCCGCATGATTTGAACTTTTGTTATGCCAAAAAGTTTAACCGAAATCTTTTGAAAGGAAGGTGAAAAAGGTGACGAACTCTTGAATGAACTCTTTTAATAAATACGTAGCAAAGAAGAGGAACATCAAACTCACGTGTTTCATGTAATCTTAGCTTGTTTACAAATACCATCGATGATCATGCTTGGAGTTAAAGATTAATGGATTCTCATTCTCATTAAAAAAAACATATCTTTAAACTCATATTGACTTTAGTATATATTAATTAATTTTGTATATCCATTGTTTATAATTTAGTTAATATTAAATGTGATATTTTAAATACACTTTATTTACAAACTGCTAATGTAGAAAAAGTTAGTTCAATACTAAGACTAACTACAAATAAAAAAAAAACATTTTAAAATATTATGTTAGATTAGATTAAATAATAACTGGAAAAGGATTGTTTAAAATTTTTAAGGAGTATTTTGGACATAAAATCGAACATATTAGGATTTGAGTGTGGTCCAATTTAAGAGTATAAAAGATAATGGACTTTCAGTTGAGTGGTTTAGAGTTTAAAGTTATATTTATATATATGCCTAGCTTTAAATTAAAATGTACGATTTTTTATTATTTAACATTCAAGTTTAACTAATTTTTATTGTTGTTAACACTAATTATGAGCTGCATTTTAATTTTTTGTAAGCCTCAATTTATACTTCAAATTTGCATCTCTATGTATTATCATTTTAAGAGTTTATTTGGTACTAATACGAAAAATTCATATGTAAATTGATTTTGTAATTGACTGGTTACCGCATGTTCTACTTATTTTATTGCAAAGGCAAAAAGCTCAAATTAATCTCCAAACATGATCCCTCTCGTTAGAAATTTAGAACATTATTTTTTTTATAAAGAAAAACATTATTTTTTTAAAAAAGGAGAGAACCATTTTTAATTATTTTTTCTTATTTTTTTACTTTTTACTTATTTTCACCTATGAGTTGCTTACTTTTTTTTTTGCTTTTTAACTTTTTGGATCATATGACTTGTCACTTATTTTAATTTTATTATTACCCAATAACTATACAATATATTATTTTTCTCTTAAAAAAGCATGAAAATCAAATAATTTTATTAATTTAATATTTGACTAGAAATTTAAATTTTTTTATTGATCCTCTTAAGTCATAAAGTCAGCGAATCCATTAACTAGATAACAGTACAATCACTTCCTATTTAATTAATTGAGAAATTTTAATGGTAATAAATTTTTAATAATTAAATAAAGTGATGAGACAAACTTCGTGAGTACAAAAACATTTTTATTAAAAAAAGAATAAAAAAACCAATTTATATCATAAGGTCGATCATAACTCCTTGACTATGGGTTTAACTATTCACAACGATAAGCAAATAAAATCTAATAAATTTTAAGAATATCTTTATCTAATCTAAAAAGAAACTAGAAAATAAAATATATAAATCTAACGCTTTGAGAGCTCAATGATTTCAATCCTTTCATAGGGAGTGAATTGCGAAATTTGAGAAGAGAGGAGGTATTTTGAGAAGAAAGAGAGATACAATGGGTGAAGAATAGAAGATGAAAAGTTAAAAAAAAGGGTTTTTTGTGAGTTGGACCAGATTTTTAATACAAGAGGCTCATGTTCTGAGTTTAATTTGAGTTTCTGCTTCGAAAACATCTTTTTTCTTTTTCTTTTTTTTTAGTTTTGGCAATAAAATGGACAAAATATATAAAAATGAATCTATAACAAAATCAAATCACACATTAATTCTTTCGATGAATACAGGTTAACCGTCAAAATACCGATTTGTCATACTTTAGTATAAGATGTTGACAATATATATTGATTATTGAATTTTTGTCAAACAAAATTAATGCTCATAAAAATTTAACGATCTAGATTTTTTTTATGTCACATTTGTTTATAATACATGTTCTTATTTATGTTTGTGTTCTCAATAAATGAAGTACTCCTTAAAAATGTTCTAATTTTCATTTGCACAAGTTGGTTAGTACCATTTAAAATCTTTTAGCTATTTTGATAGATTTCTCGTTTTACATGTTCGTAGATTTATGCATATTTCAACAACTTCACACAATGATTGTATTATTTTTCTTCGTAAAAATATTAAAATATTTTCTAAGAAATTGTAGTAACATTTCTATTCAAATTCTGCCGTATTATACCCATTTTCTTGTGGCATTTTCCCCCCGCTTAGGTTTATTTATATTTCAATCACATTAATAGTAAATCTTATCATTCCGTAGTTTATATACAAAATTAGAAGGTCTGTTTACTTCTAAATTTGTATGTATAATTTCGGTATAGAGAAGAGTGTAAATAAGTTATCTGTAAATTATGTAAATTTAATTGATTAAGTGCTCAATCAAGCTCACTTGTTTTAATAAATGAATACATTTGAACATTAAATTCAATTATATAAATGAGTAAACTCAAATTTAATATTAAATTTTATAAATAATTTGTATGTGCATATCTATAACGATAAAAAAAAAAGTTAATTTATATAAGAAATTTAATTAGTAAATTGTAATTTTATTTGGAAATTTATCATTACATTTTTTGTATATCTAAATATTCTTTTTTTATACTTCTTATTTTTATCTCATTCTCTATCACGAAAATATCTATTAAATATAGATGAGAAAGAAAAATCCATATATTTCTAATCCTTTTAATTACCAAAAACAAATAAAATTTAAGTTAGAACTAATTTCATAAAAGCCATATTTTTCAGGATGAAAAACTTATATAAGTAGAGGAAGGTATTTATTAAATTACATTTTATTTGCTTAATTAACTTTATTGAAAAAAAAAAAGCATTAAACACACAATATTGAGGCGAATGCATTATTAATTCAATTTAAAAATGAAGTGCAAATCTAAGTAGTGCACATAAATGTGTAGGTTCGAATACAAATCCCAGGAATCCTGAGACCACTGTATTTCATTCTTAGTCTCTTAGATGTAGAATCACAAATAGCACAATTGAGACATGTAACCCACTAGTTTCACAATTGACCTTCCAGAATTGATAATTTGAACAATGAAGCATAAGAAATTAACATATCCACAAAGCCCATGTGGGATTCAGATACAGAAGTATAGACATTTTTACTGTTTGCCATTTTTATCCATACAAATTCATTTTTTTATGGTAAACACGTGTTTTGCTACTTACGCAACAGGCATGAGCACTGCAAGCTTCTCTACACCATTTCAAATCTCAAACATGATATAGCTTTATGATCTGGTCTATATTAGCTCGACATACAGGGCAACCCCATTTCTTTGCTTTCACCTCGTTTAAGCAAGACATGCATCCAGCAACATGGCCACAGGGTATGCATGCCCCTTCTGCTGGAGCATCTAAACATATCACACATGATGAACCACTTCCACTAGCATTTTTTTCTTCTTCTTTAGGTAGCTCCTCAGCAACTGGAGATGACATATCGACAGGGCTTAAATCAATTGATGGATAATGAATGGGGCCATCCGTTGGAATTTCATCAGCAATTGGGGGAGCCGATGGATCCAAATCGAAACCAGCATCAGCTTGCCCAACGCCACCCGGGTTAGCTTCATGTACTAACTCACTATCACTTGTACTTTGATTTGGTGTACCCAGAAAACCTTGCTTGCCTGTATTCACTGCACTGCTTGAAGAGCTTGCTTCAAAGTTAGGCTGGGCATCAGGAAAGGGTGGCCTCTCCTGCATGGCAGACTGAAGGGATGCACTAATAGCCATAGCCAAGTCCGGGTCTTCTGCAGCTGGTGGTGCTGTGGGTGGAATTGTAGCCACACTATTTTGCAAGAATCCTGGACTTGTCTGAAAAATCCAAAGAGTAAAGCATCATGCAATGAGCAAGGGAGTCATGCATCAAAAGTTCATTATCTGCAATCCTTTGTAAAGATTTAAGGGGTTGCAAATGAACTAAAGCGAAATAAAAGAAAAAAAATTGGAATTAATTTTTAATGATCAGTTTGGAAAAGTAACAAATAGAAATTGGATACAAGAAAAAAGTACTTCAAGAAGATAAATAAAGAAAATGGACAAGCCATAATATATGCTTTGAAGAATTAAATTGACACTGAAATTGAGGTAAACTGCTGGAGGCAATAAACTAAACCAACATTTTGATGAAAACAGAATCAGAATGTTTTTACCATTCTGACAGAAACTACAGCAAAGAATGTTTGAACTTTACACCATTCTCTGGCTTTCTGGAAAATAACAACAGAGAAATCTTCCACAACTAATTACATCATAACGACATTGCTTTTTGGTGGATGTCATGAACCAAATCAAATTGTGATTTTCAATTAGAGAAACAATGCCCTCCATCTTTCAGTATAACACTTATAGAGCAGCAAATGCTGTGTAAGCAAATTGTAGAAAAATTTAATTTGGCCACTCAATTAATTTTCAAAAAAAAAAAAAATCCAATTTCTCAATAGTGGTGGTTTAAACAATCATCAACAGTGAAAAATATATAGCATTTTGAAAGAAAACACAATTTACCCTGCCTCAACAACTGATTTGGTATTAAGATAGGATAATTGGCTTTTATATGCTGTATAAAACACAAGGGTCTTTATAAAGGTTTTCCGTAGCTTTGAACCATTGATGCTTAGGTTTATGCTCTCATATTAAAAGGAGGATTTTTCATCCTACAGATTCATTGTGATTTCTTCTCTACATATTAGACTTTCTTCTTCTTTGCGAAAAGATCAAAACTCCTCCTTAGCTATCAACATTTAAGTCAGATAAAGACAATTATCAAGCACTACACTCCAAAGAAAAACTCTCAAATACAGAATAGAGTGATTTTAAAGTTACTAAATCTTACAAACAGAATAATATTGGTGTGCATAGCAATGTGAAATACCTGTGGAATTCCTTTGCAAGCATTAGAAAACCATGTAAGTTGTTGCCTGTCATTTTCACTTGCAGGCCCAAGTTTAACACGTGTTTCTGGAGAGAAGCAGACAAAATTCAACAATGTCAAAGCCAGTCAAGAAATAAGAAAGCATTTCCTGTATGGAAGACCATGATTGTCAAACTCTCTAGTTAACTCTTAATCTCTAACAAGTTTAGGATCCTGAGACAAAAACAAACTTTAATTGCATGCAAATTTTCAAACTTGGAAGTTCCAGTAAACTTTGACAAAAATCAGTGAATTCTAGATTATACCAGCAAGTTTTCAAGTTTGGATTTGCACATGGTTCGGCACTCAACAAACAGCTTTCATTGATCTTGTTATGTACTTCAATTGAGTTGCCTCTATGTTCAAGTTTATGAATAATAAAACTAATTTTCTGTTTTTTGTCTTTCACTTTTTTTCTTGTTTTGTTTAAGAAATGTTTTTCATTTATTACTTTTGTTTGCTTTATTATATTGAATATTGACTCTGGATTTCCCATGGAATTATATTTGGGTACTAAAATATTTAATAAATGAATTTTTAAATCATGTAAACTTTTACAAGTTTAAAATTCGTGATTACTATTCACCATGAGTTTACCCAACTCTCTGAGTTTGATAATCTCAGTAAAATAGAGGCTGGGAAATTATTTGAGTGTAGTGTAGTATTCTACATTACATATTAATTAAAAGGACCCTTGTCTTATATTTCTGGCTCATAATGGCAAGGTAGATTTCAATTTCCACTTATAAAGTTTTAAAAATATCATTGTAGAGTTCAAATATTTGCTAAAAAAATAAAAATTATACAATTATAAAAATCAAATAAAAAATACAATAATTGAGCTTCTACTAAAAAACTTTCTTTCATCTTCCCTTAAATTTCTCCTTTTATCTCCGCCAATTTTTCTCTTAACTGCACACATACATCTACCACTTTCTAGTGATATTAAAAACAAATATAAATACCAAAAAGTGAATGTGAAGAGGAAAGGGTGACCAAAACAGCAAAATGAATACAAACGGGAAAGGAAAAAGAAATCAAGAACTCGGTATAAGAGATTACTAGTAGTGTTATCAACAATTGTCACTGATGGATCAGACTGGTGAAGCTTTGGTTCTTGTAAATTGGCCTTCCACAGTGCAATAATTGTACGTGGTCGTGCATCCTGCTCATTTAATTATATACTTTAGAAAAGACAAGCAAATACAGATGATGCCATGAAAAGAATCTCCAGAAAAATAAAAACAATAAAATATTAAAAGATTGTTTGGGAAGAGGGGTTTTGGAGGGGAGGGGATACGAAGCTAAATTTTTTATTTTAAATAAATATATTTAAAATTAACATTTTTCAAAATAAAAAAAATATAAATTCATATATCAACGTAAACTTAATGTATTAATCATGTATTTATCATCATAAATAATATATAATTATTTTTATTTAAAATTTAAAATTATATCCTCCCTCAAAAAACCCTCTCACAAACATATGCTAACTTAAGTTTTTTGAGTTAATTTATACATTAGAAAAGTATTTCAATGTCCCAATTATAATTTAATTTAATGTTTTGTCCACATTGCAGAAAAATAGAATGATGTAGTAGCTAAAACATCTTCCTTTTAATGAAAAATAAATGTGTTATTTTATCTGTGTGTATATAAATGTCTAGAGGAATGATTAATTGGCTATGTAATACCTGCAAAGTAGAATAAATGGCAAGCTCCAACTTGTAGGGTCTGGTAAGATTACGGGAGCCAACTGGTAAAACAACCACCCAACTGAAAAGAAAATTAATCAGTAATGAGCATAATCACTGATTTTGTACCAAAATTCCTCCCTAAAAAAATTGAAAAAATTAATTTGCAGGTTGTGCGAATCCAAGCCCACCCATCTAGCTACAAAGCTAGAAGAATTAGCCATAAAATAGCAAATGCAGAAGTGATCTTAGATGCTTCAACAAGATGTCACACAATACCCACACTTTCTTTGATACCAACTGAGGAGCTACTACTTCTAGAAACCCAGGTCCATGAAACTCCCGCAACCAACCACAGAACAAGCATAGATGATTCTACAAACCAACATACATCAATCGAAGAACTTAGATGTTTCATTTATCACAATAAAGAGAAGAAAAAGAAAGCAGTCAGCCCATTCAACTTTGTACAGCAACAAATTGATGTTACATTATTAAAGTTTTGTACCTCAATTGCACGAACAGCATTGCCATGCCCTTTGGCCCTGGCAACTTCAAGAGCAGTTAGACAATCATCATTCAAGACTAAAGGATTGGCTGAAAAGTTAAACAGAAATCCCATATAAATAACACTTACTGGAGTTTTTAAAATTCAAAGGAACGAAATGTCTTAGCTAATTATTGACACTATACCTCCATGCAAAAGGAGTAACTTAACAATACTTTCAAGGCCCCTTTTAGCTGCATGATGCAACGGAGTCCCACCATGACGACCTACACAACAGTTAAAAGTTGAAACCAATGCCTGATGCAAAAGGAAAACATAAACCAAGTTCCTTTTTCAATTTCCATTACAATACTTGTTCAGAAAAATTAAGGATAGCAGCAGAGAAAGTAACCATATCTACTAAGGATCTACAGGCTTTGTAGTCTGTACACATCGAAACCTAATCCCAGACAGCATTATCTTTCTTCATTACCAGACATCTTTGAGGGTTACTCTCACTAACAAGTATCCTAAAGTCTTGTCAAATGACAATATACCACAACATTTCTGTTTCTCAGAAATTCTAATAATTTAATTCCAATCATATTTATTTCCCAATCAGCTAGTTAATGAAATAATCAAACATAACAAACCAAAAAGAGACCAATACCGGGACGGTATGCATTGACATTGGCTCCAAGTTCTATCAGAGTTTTAGCAACATTATAAAGCTGATGATTCATACAAGCAACAATCAAGGGGGTCTTCGCTTCTTTGTCCATCCACTGCACCAAAGATCAACAAAATTATCACCATCAACAACGAAATGCAACGAATCCAAACCAAGAATCATCATCCCCATAAACATATCCCATAAAAATTATAATAGATAAAAAAAAATTCCCATTTTCACGGGAAATTTTGCCCCAATTCCTTTACCTCTAGGCTCGCACCTTCTCTGTGAAGGGCTTTGATTCCTTCGATGTTCCCATAACTGACTTGCTGGAAGAGCAACTCGTCTTTGGATTGCCCTTGCCCCATCGGATAAATACGAATTCAGAAGCAAAATTATATTCTTTTTTCCTGATTTATTTATAGATTTCGCTGAAATTCTGAAATGGGTTTTCTGGTATGAGGGAATGGAAAACTGGGCTTGAATTGAATCAGAAATTTTTCCAGGAAAATTATGAACTTTCCTGGAAAATGTATACAGTACTATCCTGTTACGATAGTGAGAAAATATGAGAATGGAGGGTGAAGAATAATAATGATTGGGAAATATATGGGGCTAAAAGTGTAAATACAAAACAAATCATGGCAAATGATAATTAATGCAAAACTAACCGCGTTAACGCTAGTGATAGTGATTGATTTCTTAGGAAAGAAGGAAATTAGATGGACACTTTCTGTGAGGTTGCGGCATGGAAGCCCCCTCAGTTCATTTGGACAGATTATAGTTGTACGTTAGTTTTGTTAATTTCGTATTTCTTTCCTTTATAAATTAGAGATATAAAAAGAAAATCAAGAAAATATAAAAAAGTGAGTAATGTAGTATTAAATAAAGGATATTGTTGATTAATCTTTTAATTATTTGTAAAATATTTAATAAATAAAATTAACTTTATATTCTAAACAAAAATATTTTATTTTAAAAAATGATTTTATTATATAATAATTATTTACTTTTTATTTATGTATTTATTTTGTTAATCAACCTTATAAGTCTACTTTAAAATTAAAATTAATTAAGAATGAGAGAATGATGTGTAATTACACTCTTTTTTATTTTAATGGTTTTATTTTTTACTTTGTTAATTTTATTCTAAATTTTAAAGATTAAATTTTTTTATTAAATATTAGCTAAATTTTTATATTTTTCATAAATATATATTTTTAGTTATATTTATAAAAAAAATTATTTTTATAAATTTAAAATTTATTTTTAAGAATCTTATTTTTTAAATTTATGGTTATTAATATATATATTGATTATTTATGTTTAATTACATTTTTTATACTATATAATAACAGTATTATTTTTAAAGAACTTATATTTTTAAATTTTTATTATTTTAATTCATGCTATTTATAATTATTGAATTAAGTTAAAATACTTTTTAAAAGAAATTATTGTTTAAAATAATTTTGTTATATATATAATTATTTTAAAATATAAATTTACTATTTAATTATTAATGTATATATATAGTTATTTTAAAATAAAATACCAGGGTATTGCATGATTATAGATTTAAGTTAAAAAAATTTTAGAATAATTATTATCAAAATATTTTTATTATATATATATATATATAAATTTAACTTTCAAAAATTATTTTTTAAGTTTTATAATATATATTAACATAAAATATGTGCATTGCACATTCACTAAAACTAGTATTATATTAAAAATTAAGTTAAAAGTGTGTTAAGATTTTGTAAAAATAAGTTAATAAATTTTTAATTAATTAATTAATTTTTAACATATTTATTAATATTGAGAAAAATATGCTATAAAAAATGTTAAAAATTTTTGTTATAGAAATACTATAATTTATAATTTGCTTTTGAATAAGGTAGAAGTAATTTTACATAAAAGAATAAATATTTATGATTGCTCATATATTAAAAGATATATAGTTTTATTGTATTAAGAGATAAACAAGCATACTCTTATTTATATGTCATTAGTCGAGTTTATCTAAAGTTTGAATTCACAATAGTATATAATATATGAAATTTAGTTGTAAAATATGTTAATTTTTTTTTTATCAATTTTAAAGTAATTTCAAAAAACTTATTTCAAATACACAATAAATATATTTTGAGTAAAACAATGGAAAGAGTAACGTTATGAATAGTCATATAAAATATTAGATGACATGCTTTTAAATAATGTATTGTTTAAGAGAATATTTATTGACCATCTTTGGTGGTATGAACTTTCTTTTAGCTCTATTTTCTTTTTGTTCTAATATGTTTTTATATTTCAATTATATATTCATTGTTTTACGTGATTGTAACATTCTCTTAATTTTTAACCTTAACATATCAATATATTTTGATACGTAAAAGGGGATTAGAAATGACCTGAGTTTTTTTGTATAAAGTGATTTGAGATATTGATAGTAGTATTTCAATGATAGGGTGTTTTTTTTTTAAGAAATACTTTAATATTCAAGTCAATGAAATTTTGGTCAGATTAAGAGTATAAAGTTAATGAGTTAACATAAGTGGACTAAGGAAGTGATTTGTTGTTAGTTGAAGTGGATTCGTCGTAATACACACTTAACTATGTAACTATTTGGATATGAAAGTGCATTCAATTTTTGTACAATATACATAATAAGTTCAATAAAGGTGATAATGTGATAGAGTTATCAAATAATGTAGAAATGTTTGTATAATGATTGATGCTATAAGCTATAATCAAATTTTAGGTGAATCCAAGCACAAGCAGTAATTCATCTGTGGTAGATAAGTGGTGCATGGATGAAATAAGGTTCATGGCACCGATTAATGATAAATTTGGTGAGTTATCATTATGGCAAATTTAGATGGAATAAGATTGATAAGATGCTTTGACCAATGTCAAGCATTTAACTCCTAATATTCAATATAAGACTTAAAAATTTAAACAAATGAATGTTATTATTATTTTTATTTTCTAACCTACAATGTATTTCCTTTAACTTGTTTTAGAATTATTTTTATATAAAACTGTATGAATATATACTTAAATAGTTTTTATAATTCTAAATTAGTTAATAATTTCATGTATTATATGGTCTTATTAGAATCTATTTAGTTAAGAAAATCATTTTTATATGAGAATAATAATAATAATAATAATAATAAATTTAGACTATATAATTATACATAAATTGTTAAAATTTAAAATTAAGAGTCATATTATTAAATTTAAAAATTATGATTTTTTTTATTGTGTCACATATTTTTATTGTTTAATTTTAATAATATAAAAAAAAATTGTAACACCCTGAATTTTATAATATTGTTTTAATTGTTAATATAAATTGTGAAGTTTTATTTGAATATGTATTTGATATATATGATGATATGAATATATGTGAATACTAGTTGTGTGATGGGTTAGAAGTGAATATTTGTAGAGATATCTCTATGGTATGGTTGAAATGTGATGTGCAATTGTGATTGGGCTGAAATGTGTATTTGATGTATATGATAATATGAATATATGTGACTATGAGTATGAGTGTGAATATTGATTGTGTGATGGGTTAGAAGTGAATATGATTGTAGAGATATCTGTATGGTGTGGTTGAAATATGATGTGCAATTGTGATTGGGCTGAAATTGTCTGAAATATAGACTAAGTGTATATTGCAGGGGTGTTCTTGTTATAGCGAGAGAGTTTTCATTGTAGCAAGAAAGCCCTAAGAGAAGGACGTGAATCTGTTGAGCTCTCGCTGTATCAAGAGGTCCCTCGCTGCAGCGAGAAAACGACAGAGTGATGACAACCACAAATTGTGTCGCCGAATTAAACGATATTGAATTGAATTTCACACAATAAAAACAAAATTATTACGACACAAATAAGAATTGAAATAAGAAGACAATTAATAAAAAGTAAAAATAGAATAGAGATGGAAAATGGCGTCACAATCGCAAGATTGATAAGCCAAAGAACGATCGCCACAAGAGTTTTGACCTCTTGATAAGATCAAAGAAAATTGGCTCACTCAAGAACCTAGAGTCACACGCTCTCACAAGAGTGTTCAATCTCAAATTATATTCAAAATTAAATTAAAAGTGTGTTTACAAGAGCTTATATATGCCTAATGCTTGTAAACTAATACTAACGCAAACCCTAATGGGCTTCTTGTACCAACAAGCCTAAATTCAAATAAACTAAATAAAATAACAAGATTTTATCCTAAATAAAAACTCAAAATAAGTAATGACTAATATTAAAATAAATAAACTAAACATAATAATTAAATCCTAATAAAACTCGTTAGAGTTCAAATCCTCTAAGCATATATAATTGATTATCTTAGGCTTTTCTAACTCTAAATTGAGCTCCCTTTCAAATAAGACAGCAACAATCTTTTCTAAGTCTCCATTTATTCTTTTTGCCCTTGCCCTTGTCATTGGTCCTTGAAGCTCTTTCAATGCTTTCAAGTCTTTGTCTTTAATGGGTCTTCCTTGATTCTCATCAATCCCTCCTTCTTCAAGTCAAATTTGACTCTTTATTATCTACATCAAAGAGAGATAAATCAGATACATTAAAAGTAGCACTAACACCATATTCACCTGGTAAGTCCACTTTGTGTGCATTATCTCCAATCCTCTCTAAGACTTGGAATGGTCCATCCCCTCTTGGCTGAAGCTTTGACTTTCTTTGTATAGGAAACCTCTCCTTACGCATGTGTACCCAAACACAATCTCCGGGTTCAAATACCACTCTCTTCCTTCCCTTGTTGGCATCTTTTGCTTGTTGTTCAACTTTGTTTTCAATTTGAGCCTTCACCTTTTCATGCAACTTTTTAACAAATTCAGCCTTGGCATTGCCATCCTTATGTACTAAAGACGCAACATTAGGAAGTGGCAACAAATTAAGCGGGGTGAGAGGATTAAATTCATAAACAACCTCAAAGGGTGAATGCAGGGTAGTTGAATGAAATGTCTTATTATATGCAAATTCAATATGAGACAAGCATTCATCCCATGATTTGAGATTCTTTTTTACCATAGTTCTGAGGAGAGTAGTTAAGGTATGATTTACCACCTCTGTTTGTCCATCTGTTTGTGGGTGACATGTGGTAGAGAATAGAAGTTTGGTTACAAGTTTTTGCCACAAGGTCCTCTAGAAGTGACTTAGAAACTTCGAATCTCTATCTGAAACAATGCTCCTTGGCAAACCATGCAATCTTACAACCTCTTTGAAGTATAGGTCCACAATATATGTAGCATCATCTACTTTCCTACATGGAATAAAATGAGCCATCTTTGAAAATCGGTCCACAACCACAAATATGGAGTCCTTGCCATTCTTTGTCCTTGGCAAACCTACAATGAAGTCCATAGAAACATCAATCCAAGGGTAATCTGGAACAGGTAATGGAGTATAAAGGCCATGAGGATTTACCTTGGATTTAGCCCTCTTGCACACAACACACCTTTCACAAAATTTATAAACATAATGTTTCATTTTAGGCCAAAAGAAGTGTTCTTGCAATATCATTAAAGTTTTAGGTACACCAAAGTGTCCCATCAAACCACCCTCATGGGCTTCTCTCACAAGCAAGTCACGAATTGAGCATTTAGGCACACACAATTTATTCCCCTTAAACAAAT